AAAAAAAAAAAAAAAAAAGCCAGAAGTGGGATGTGCAGAACCTTGGTGGATCAGCTCCTTCCTAGCTGTTAACCTATACCCCCAGTTTGTTCTTGGATACTTGCTTATCTGGTTTTCCAAAACTGCAGAGGTTGACTTTTCCTTATTAACCAATGATAAATACTGAAAATATTTAAATTGATCCTTAATTTAGATTCTGTATACAGTCTGAAGGCAATTGACAGCTTATACGATTTACGCTATATCTAAGCATCTTTTATGGAAAAAATTCTAATTAGTGAAGCTCAGCAATGGCGAGCCACTCCCTAAGCAGCAATTTATACAGCAGCAAAAAAAAAATGTTGCATATGTTAGCTGCTATATTGAGCATATCTAGTTAACGCAAAACTAAGATAAACATACAAGTGCTTTAAAAAATTAAGGCTAATGGAAAAACCTAACACAAGCACCAGGAAACTTAAATACACTAATTGAACACTGGAGAATATGTGTTAAGGGGCACTTAATTTTACAAGGCCTGCAGCCTTCCATGAATGCGAGTAGACCACTTAAGAAGGAAGACAACTAAATACTTTGAAAATAAGGTATTGAGAAAAGTTATTTATGCCAATAAAGAGAAAAATGTGTGCAGGAAAGGAATAGCGAGAGGTCTGAGAATCAAGTGTAATAAATACGAAATAATTTCAATAATTTCAAAGGGATGGCTACATGAATATATGCTTCCAATTCTCCATTTCTGATACCAAGTACAAGATAGCTGGATAATCTCCATGCATATCACAAATGCCTTTAGGACCCTTCAGGAAGTAAGAACATACCTATACTGTGAAGATGGGGAAACCAAAGCAAAGCAAAGCTGAATGACTCCCCCCCAGGATAAAAAAGTACCTCTTGAAGCTGGAGTATTTCTGCTTCAAGACTCTTCAGCTTCTTTTCGTTCTCTTTGGATTGAGCAAAGATTTCATCTCTGGATGCACGGGCTTCCTCCAGTTCCCGCTGGTAGTCTTTCATCTGAGCCTGGAATGTCAGAGGAGAAATACTACCCTTTGTTAGAGAATAACTATAAAGAACTGTTAAAAAACCCCAAACCTTAAGAGTTTTGTATTTGTTAGCAACTTTATTAACTAGGTATTAACATATACTGAAAAGCAGACAAGCAACACTGATATAATGGTGGGGATTTATTATAGGCCCATCAAATCAGGAAGAGGAAGTGGATGAGGCACTTTTCAAGCAGTTAGCCAAAAATTATCCAAAAGCTATGGGATGGCATGGATGGGAGACTCAGTTCCAGACATCTACTATAAGAACAACATGGCCAAATGGAAAATCTTGAGCCTGTTTCCAACCTGTGGGTAGGACAACTTTCTGGGTGCCTGAAGATGTGAGGGGATGCTGCTCCAACGCACCGTAATTACAGCATGTCGAAGCAAGGACTTGATTAATCGAGTCTGCTGGAGTCTTGCCTACCTCCTATGACTCAATAAATAGACTGCCAAGGGCTCCAAGATCTCCTCTGCGACTTCCTTCAGTACCCCGGGATGAAGTTTCTCAGGTTCTGCTGACTTGAATTCATTCAGACTCATGAAAAGCTCTGACTGTCTTGTTATCTCCTTTCTCAGTTTGTCCCCTTAATCTAGATAATCCTTATTAGGCGTCTGGCTCCACCTTAATTTTTTTTGTGAAGACTGAGGCAAATTATCTGTTAAGCAGCTCCCCCCGCTTCTTTACATCTTCTGTTAAGAATTCCCCCAGGTTGTTTAATAGATGACCCACAACTTCCTTTGTGTTTCTTTTCTGGACAACATACTTAACAGAATTGCTTCTTGTTGTTTTTAACCTCCCTTGCCAGGTGCAGCTCATTCTTTACCTTTGCTTTCCTGATTTTGTCCCTTCATGTTCTTGCTATTTTCTGGTATGCTTCCTTGGTGACCTGCCCATTTTCCCATTGCTTGTATGCTTTCCTTTTGCATTTGAGGCCTCCTAGAAACTCTTGTGCAGCCACATGGATCTCTTGCCACTTTTCCTGTACTTCCATTGTGTTAAAACAGTTCCTTGTTGGATTTCCAATACTGTGCCCCTTAGAAGCTCCCAACTCTTCCAGGTGCCTTGACCCTTCACAGTCTGTCTTCCCATGGCACCCACGTCTATTAAGTGCCCTCTTGAAATCTAGTGTCCTAGTTTGGTTGACCTCATACTTTCCCTGTTTCAGGATATGGAAATCTATTCTATTGTGATCACTGCCTCCCAAGCTGCCCATCAACTTCAGGTCTTCCATCAATTCTTCCCTACTAGTCAGGTCAAGAGCCAAAATAAATTCTCTTTTTGTTGCATCCTCAACCTTTTGGAACAGAGGGTGTCTTTATACGTGCTCAGGGGGAAGGAGGGGGCAAGCTTTAATTAGAGTGGCTCCAAGAGCTGCTCTAATTAAAGTGCCTCCAATGCCTGCTGTATTCAGTGCCTCGTGCTTCAAAAATGCCTGTGGGGGCGCTTTAACTAACAAGCTTTAGTTGACGTGCCCTCACCACCATTTTGAAGCATGGGGTCACTTGGAGGTCCCTGGCTAAAGGCCTTGTTCCTCTGCTCATGGTCATACTAATCACCATATTTTATGTCAGGAAAGAATTTTACCCCATGGTAAAACTGGCATGTGTTTTTTTTGCCCTCTAGTGAGGGGTGGAGACCTCTTCCTGGTAGCTCTTGAGCAAATATTAACCTTTCCAGCAGTAGGATGTTGACTTCCATAATATCCCCTGCCTTCCTGTGCCAGGTTAGGGAGTTGTGTTGATTCTGAGTTAGGTTGACTATATTTTTGCTAAGAGGTTAGAGAATAGATTTGTAGAGGATGGTTTAGATAGGGATGATCCTGCCTCAGGCATAGCTGGACTAGATGACCTCTTGGGGTCCCTTCTAGCCCTATTCCTTTATGAGTCTATGAGCATACTGACTTAATTCTCTTAACCTGGCTTGACTCAGGCAAAATTAACAACAGCATTTATATTTGTTCCAGTTTTGAATGCTATATTTGTTCCAGTTTTGAATGCTAAAATGTGAGCAAGACACAAGAACACCAACAAACAAGTGAACAAACAAAAACTGTGCACTTCCACTCACTATTTCATGTTTATAGCTTTCCATAACTTAGATTTATGTGCTGTCCTTCCCAAAAAAAAAGAGCTTATGACAATTTAACAAAGCACAAGAAAATTACAGAAAGAATAAGATATTGAAACAGATTATCAACCCAACATTTAAAAGCAAGCCACCCTTCATCCACTCCCGTGCTTCAGGCAGAACAACACTTCTTCACTAAACCCTACCTGTCTTCCCAATCTATATTCAATCCCTCTGTAAAAAAACCCCAACAAATCTCTACCCCTGCCATCCTCTGTCCTGGTCCTATCCTCTCCCACTCCTCTGCCCCGGACCAAGGGGAATCCCCCACTCTTTCTACTGTGCTTCCCAAAATCATGCCTCCCTCTCTCAAAAGGGATGCCACAGCTGTCTCCAAAACTGTTCTTCACTCCCTCCATCCCTTCCCCCACCCCCAAGGAAATATATTGTTTTGGTTAAAAAAGATAGAAGTAGTAATGCAGTAAGACACTCGATTTCCCTTCCTCTCTCCCCGTCAAATGGCAGTGCCTTTTGATGGTGCATAACCCACAGTGACCTGTAGTGCTGGGTAAGCCCATCCCTTTCCAGCTCAGCTGGCCATAGTATTTGACTGTTCACTCTTAGACCTTCCCTTAATTCCAGGCTCAGCCTCCAGAGTGGCAGCAGGATGTTACTATCCCCTATCATGCTGAGGGCTACTGCTGTCCATGGGAGGCTGAAGGGCCACAAGAGGAGCAGTCTTTAGCTCAGGGCAGCTTGCAGTTCTTTTTAAAGCTCACAGCTGAGTAGACACTTCCCAGTACAGCTTGGCTGGTCATGTGGTTAAGGTATGGAGCTGCACAGTTGGCCTGTGCTACTAATTTGAGTGCAACATTTAAGCTGTGGAGATATGAAGGTGTGAATTTATGTACCCAAACCTTGAGGCACCCACATGTGAACAGTTGTGCCCTAATGCAAACCTTAGTTTGAACTTTGCGTCTTCAGTATACCAGAATCACTCTAGTGCTTAGTTAGCTATTAAGGGCATGCCTATACCACTCACACTGCTTTAGACAGCACTGTGCTGAAAAAACTGCGTGTAAGCACAACCACCTGAACTGGAAGTAGTGGGCCTCTTAACAGTTGAGAAAACTTCAGCCTACCCACTGAGGTCTGCTCCAACAGGTGAGCACAGAAAACAGACCCTTACTTAAAATGTTAAGTCTCAAATAACCATAATAGGAGGAGCACCAACCCTGCCTATAACATGCAGTCTCAAATCAGTCTTTACTAATCGGTTACTTCAAGTAGACCCTGCTACTTGAAGAAAGCCCCTATTTAGATTAATAAATGCAGAAAACGGTATAGCTTTTACAACAATTTCAATTAACTTCTTCATGAAAAACATTGAATAAAAAGGAAAAAGAACCTTAGAATAATTGTGTGTTGATTTTAACTTTCTTGTTAAAAAAAAAACCAGATGAAAGTGAAATTACACAAAATGTTTCAACATACTAAAATCAAGAGGTCATCCTTAGGAGGAAAAGTAAAAGTTTTTGCAAGGTACACCAAGCAAATGTACATTAAAAAAAAGAAAAAGAGAGCACTCCCACAAATGCAATGCAAAGACGAGACAAAATGAAGCAGTGAATGAGTTATACAGACCTGAAGCTTGCGGAGCTGTTTGATTGCTTCATCTCGAGCTTTGTTTGCAGCTTCAATCTGACCCTCAAGGTCTTTCATATCCATCTCCATTTTCTTCTTGGAAGCTACTGCAAGAGCCCGCTGTTTGCGCTCATCCTCCAATTCGGCCTCAAGCTCCCGCACCTGAGAAATTACATTTTGAGAAGCTGTTACAGAAACGAATAGACTGGAAAGGCACAAGAACTCAGAAGGAATCCAAGAGACTAAGAATGAAAAAAGCTTTGATGGAGAAGTAGAGGCGTAAGTAGGACAAACCTGTTTAACCAGCATCCTCTTCTTCTCTTCATTTTGCTCATCTCTGGCTTGGAGGTCTCTCTCAAACTGGGCCTTCATAGCCTGCATGTTCACTTCTAGACGAAGTTTAGCATCTTCTGTGGCCTGAAGCTCATCTTCAAGTTCTTCTAGCTGTGTCCTCATTTCTTCCACCTGCTGCTCCAAGGTTCGTTTTGATTTTTCCAGCTCATGGACCTAAACCACAAGTATTAAATGAAGCTATCGTTACAGATGGCAAAGTAGGAGATTAAGAGAAGAATAAGATATTGGGCCCTTTGTTACTCTGCAACTATCTTACATTACAATCAGAATGATTAAGACTGCAGACACATAAATAGAAATTCAAAAGGTTGAAGCATAAGCCTTGGAGCACACTGCACTGTGACAGCTGCATACAGAGGCAAAATGTTTGTTCAAAAGTGCAAGAATCAAACAGGCTACACTTTGAAAGATGACAAACATTTGAAACATGACAAATTTGGTCCTGAATAGTCCCATTAATTTTCCCACAGTTAGGGCCGGGCTTTTAGGGGTTGGCACCATATGTTGGCAGTTTTGAAATACAAGACCTTGACTTATCATAGACATTCCTGGACTATGGCACCTCACTTCTAGAACTGTATTAACCCAAATCAGAAGTATGCAGAAATATAATTATAGCTGTCTAATGCTAGTAGGAATCAAAGCCTGATGAAGGAAGCAGAGTTGGTAAGATGCCAAATTTTAAGAAAGTGTAAGGACAGAAATCAATCGCAATCACAATCTGCACACCTACTCAGTATGGCTATGGACAGGCAGTCAATTCCAGCACTGCAAATTTCCAGGACATTTGCAGCACTGGAATATATGGCAAGGGGACTACATGGGTGTTCTAGCTCCCTAGTCAGAGAGCAAAGTTCTTATCCTTGAACCCCGTGGCAGACAAGCTAGGACAGGTCCAGCTACATGGAAATGCCCTCCCACACTGCAGAAAGGGTCACCCAAGCTGTGCACAGGGGTGGGAAGCAGATATGCTGCAGCTTGAAACCTTTCTAGAGTTTTGGGATGGTTCCAGCTGTGAGAAAGTGCTCCCACCAGTCCACTCAGTGGGACTGTGCAGGGGGTGGGGGAAGCATTCTCCACAAGATTTAACCCCTTCAGGGACACTCAGTATAGATCCACTTGTGGGGAAATGCCTCCCCCACCTTACCCTTGCACAGACCTAGGGGGCAGTGTCTTCACAGTGCTCCCTTACAGCTTGCTCCAAGATGGGCAATCAGGTAACCAATGCTCTCCTCTGGAGAGAGGGAGAGCAGAGGATGGTGGAATACTAGTAGTTCTTAAAATAAGTGTACAGCTGTTCAAGCTGGCATAGGAGGAAAAAAAAAAAAAAAGAGATCTTCCTGGTTGAAAGCACTCATTTTCTCATGGAAGAGCCAGTTCTCTTCCGTGAAGACCCCTTCAATGGCTGTATGCTCTTTCGTGCTGGCTAAATGACTTCTGTCCAGGCACAAATGTAACACCTTTCCATAAGCTATGCTCGCATCTGTGTAGAGATGCTTCTTACTAGTAAATAACAAATTAATTTCCAGCATTTTTATAGTTAAATTCTTCAGGTGCTTTTGTCTTACCTTCTACAAATCAAGGATTCAAACTTGGAAGTTTTCCTACCTGGCAAGTTGTTTGTAATTTGTCAAATAATTTCTCTGTCCAAACAAACAAATGAGCCACATTGCATTTTCCCATCATGCAATGCAGTGCAGTACAGTACAGAGCGTGAAAAATTACTTACATTTTTGCCCACATCATCTTTGGAGCTCATTAAGTCCTCCATGTCTGCACGCAACTGTTTATTCTGCCTCTCAAATTCTTCCTTAGCCTCCAATGCTTCTTCCAAAGCTCGAGCCAGAGAAAGTGCCTTAGTTTCCTTCTCTCTAGCTTCTGCTTCTGCACGGTCTCGTTCTTCTGCATATCGAGCAGAAATGTTTTTCTCTTCTGCCAGCATCTGGATATTCAATTCCAGAACAAAACAAAAATCTGTGAGAAAATCTGTTAGAAGGATACTAAACTGCTAACACTTAAATGAACGAGAGCCACTCCATCAGGATCCTCACAGAAAAGAGTTAAGGTGAAACTTCAGCTTGGCTATAAACTCATGAATAGGTGTCAGCTCTTAAACACAGCTTGTCATATCATAATGGAAGGCACCATCATTGCCCACTGAAGCAAATAAAAAAGTTGTCATTTGTAAATAGCTTGGCCTCCACTGAACAGGTTACAGTACATTTACAAGTGCATTCATTTAAAACACTATTTAATCAGATTATTTTTAACAATTTTTGGAGCAATTAATATAATGACTGAGGATTTACATGTTGCCACTAATTAGAGTAGAAGAAAGATGTGAAAAATTTTCAGGGTAGGTCAGCATAAATCTAAACACACACACAACAACAACAACAACAACAAGAAGGAACTAACTACCTGATCAAACTTCTTCTGTTTTTTCTCCAAGTTGGACACAATCTGGCGCTGGTGATCTAGGTCAACCATCAAGTCATCCAGCTCCTGCTGCAGACGATTCTTTGTTTTTTCCAGTTTGTCGTAAGCTATTGCCTTCTCCTCAAGACGCTGGCTCAGAGCTTCCATATCTTTCAAGAGTTTCTTTTTGTTTTCTTCCAAACCTTCAATGGTTCCCAAATCATCATCTACCTTCTTTTTGGCATCGGCCAACTAAAGTTTTATAATAAGAAATTTTGTTATAAATTCTTACTGGCCACAAAATATCAAGCAGGAAACAAATACAAGTATAGCTACATCATGCAAATAACATTGAGGACCCCATCAGAAAAAAGGCAGTTCTAATATTAGTTAAGTAAAGTGTAAACAAATTACCCATAACACAAAATCCTATAAAATGTGACAATTCATAACACCTTTCATATTCATGGTTACTGAGGTCTCACTGCTGTTTTAACACTTCAGTGGAAAAAGAGCAGAGCCAGTTATTTGACAGCTAAGTAAGAATTCCTTCATCTGTAACAAATATGCTTTGGCACAAAAGCTTTGACTCATTTATCACACAATTAAGTGCCATGCTACTGGCCTACCATTTTCAATATTTTACCTGTGACTGCAGAACTACAATCTGTTTTTCCAAGTTCTTCCTAGCCTCTTCCTCTTCCTCTTGCTGCTCCTGTAGGTTGTTCTTCTCTTCTTCCAGCTGCCTAATCCGACTACTCAGGTTCAGTTTCTGGCGGGTCTCCTCCTGAAGAAGCTCCTGTTCCATTAAAGTAAAGACTATTGGCAAAAGTGAAATTTGAGCATTTACTTTAGCTTTTCACTGTTGCCAGCCAGAATCTTATTTAACAATCCTTTTGCTTCCCCAGGAATGGGGTGGAAAGGAAACCAGAAAGATAATGTTGCTATAAAATACTCACACTACCACTAAAAAGGTATGCAAACACATACGGTTGTATGCACGTACAAGCAACATCCTAAGAAGTTCATTAAAAGCTAGTATGGCCATGAGGTCTCAAAGAGATGCAGTTTAATTGGAGAAACTGACAGATGCAGCTAAGCCACTAAGCCAATAGTGAAAGTTGTAAGAGAGAAGACGTGAAATCCAGTTTCAGGCTTGAGGTGCATCATTGCACCCCAATGCTAGCAAATGCTGCTTACCTCTGGTCTAACAAACATTAAAGTGCAGTGGCTCACCTGAATGGCATAGCGACCATTTAATTAAGCCAAGGTTTTGTGGCCCACAAAGGAAAGTTACTGATGAGAAAGGAAGGAGAGGAGTGAGTGATCAGCAACATAATTCACTCAAAAAGCTAAGTAAGTGTGGGTTTCCGTTGGAAAAAGTTTAAAAACCTGAATGAAGGGGTATTTTTAGTCCCATAATTTAACTTTTATATTGATAAAGTCAATATTACACATTCATGCAGCAATTGCATATGCACCTGTGTATCTTGAAGCTGAGACTCCAGACTGGCAGCATCTTTGGCAAACTTAATGCCTTTCTTCTCTGCCTCTTCCAGAAAACTTGAGACGTTGTCCAACTCATTCTACAAACAAAGAAATCTAAAAGGTTACCTTTACAAGGTAAATTTGAATGTTAATACTGAATATAAACAGTCCCATTCTAAAGCACCTATACTCTAATACATCCATTAATTATCTTTAGTCATGCTTGAAATATTCATATTGGCAATTTAAATGCTATTTTAAGTAAACAGAGGACCATCTTATTGGCTCTATCCCTCTCCATGTATTACCAAGGTGACAGGTGGATCCAGAAGCTGCAATCTTTCCTGTCAGATATGATCACTACCAGTGGTCAACACTTACTCATTTTAAATTGGGCTATTGTAATGTTTTCTATTTGGGCTACTTTGGATGACTGCTTAAATGCTTCCATTAATAACATGAAGGGGAAAATTCACTCGAGACAGTTTATATTATATTAAGCATAAATAACCTTATAATTGCTATGAAACACTTTGGAGTGCTAGTTTTTGTTCAAAAAGCCATAATGGCATTAACCTTCTCTTTCAAATGACTCTTCTTTGCCATACTTGATCCTTGTAATGAGCCAGAATAGAAAGTTTAGCAGCTAGCTGCACACCTTTCATCTCTAAAAGCTGGTTTGTCATCTTGTGGACACCAAATAGATGTGCAAGTTCAAAACTAACTTAGTATTTATTTTACCTCAAAGAGAAGTTGCATCCTTTCAATATTTTGAAGCTAAATTATTTATAAAGCTTTCTTGGTTGGTTCAGTTTTTGCATACTTTTCTTTGTAACCTGTATACAAGGCTCACACTTTGTATTTTTCTTTTTAGTGAAATGGGCTGAAATTTAGGAGGAATACCCTAACTATATGAAATCAAATGAATAAAGAATCTTACAAAAATACAAATTTTACAATATATTAACAGTGTTAATACATGAGTCTGACCAAAAAGGAATCATTGTCCGAGTTCATGCACCATCCAGACAGAATTCTATATTTATCCTGAGATTTTTTTTAACTGAATACCATATGCAGTTATAAGACTGAGAATGTAGAACATACAGGGTTAAGTCACCTGGGGAACTAGTGACTGGTCACCCTCACCTTAATACTCAGGAAGTTATTGGATCATATTATAAGAAAGTCCATTTGCAAGCATTCAGCAAAGGAAAGGTTGATCATGAGCAGCCAGTGTTGAGTTACTAAGAACAAATCATGCCAACAAGCTTGACATCCTCCTTCAACAAAGTTAACTACCTGGGTGGATGAAAGAAATGCTGTGGCTATACTGTATCTGGACTTTGTCAAGTCCTACATGATCTTCTCGTTAAAAAAAAAAAATTAAAAAATAAAAATAAAAATGGAGAAATACAGGCTGGACAAAAATGGAGAAATACAGGCTGGACAAAACTACAAAGCTGAACCAACAACTGGCTCAATAGCTGCAAGCAAAGGATATTTATAAATGGATCCACGTCAGGATGGCAGGTGGTTTCAAGTGCAGTCCCACAAGGGTCTGTTCTGGGCTCACTGCTGGTCATTTATTAAATGATTTGGAGGCTGGACGAGTTTTCTGATCAAATTCACAGATGATAAAAAAAAACTGGGAAGGACAAACACACTGAAGGACGAGAGCAGAATTCATAAGAATCTTGACAGATCGGAAAGCCTGGCTGGAGCCAACAGGATGAAGTTCACTGTTGACAAATGTGAGGTGCTATGTCCTGGGAATAATAATAATAATAATAAGACCAAATACAGTAAAAGCCCTGTTATCTGGCATTTTACTAACTGGAACACTCTATTAACTGGAATTTCCAGCTGGCCAGCCAGGTGTCACTGTACAAAATGGGTGACACCTGGCTGGATGAGAGCACCAGGGAGAAGGATCTGGGAGCCTTGATAGATTACAGACTCAAAACGAGTCTGCAGTTTGATGCAACTGTACAAAAGGCAAGTGAGGTTTTGGGATGCATCAATAGAAGACTTCACGAAAACCTTTTTTATTGTCAGCACAACAACGCAGCAGAATCAACTGCCTAGGCAAGTTGTAGGGTCTGCATCATTGGAAGCGTTTTAGAGGAGGTTGGACAAGCACTGGTCAGGGATGACTTACGTTCTACTGTGGGTAATTTCCCATGCTTCAGGGGCTTTGCTTGTTGCCTTGTGGGGCTGGGAAGGTATTTTTCCCCTTGTGCTGCTGTGCATGTCAGTGCTTTCCCCACATCCCCACCTTCCTGAGAAGCATTGAGGTTTGGCTGAAGCCAAGGCTGTGGATTCTGACGAGTGTGCCAAAGCTTCTGACTTAAACCCAGAGTTTTCTGGCTAAATGGTCTTTACCCCCTGCTCAGGGTCAGACAGATCACCATATCTGAGGCCATGAAGGAATTTCCCCCCCCCGGTCAGATTGGTAAGGGTTTTTGCCTTCCTTTCTAGCAGAGGTGTAGTTCTCTTCCTTAGATCTTGAGTGTATTTTAAGAGCCTTTGCAGCAGCAGAACATTAGCCACTTGCAGTTTCCCTGCTTTACTTGCGGCGGGTTAGGATGTTTTGTCTTGTGGTCAGGTCAGGGTTACCTGTGTAGTTTTACTAACAGGTTGGATAGTGGATTTGTATAGGATAGTTTGGAAAGGGATGATCCTGCTTCTAGTGGGGTGTTGCACTAGATGACCTGTGGAGGTCCCTTCCAGCCCTACTTTTCTTTTATTCAAAGCCACTAAGTGTTTTGAAAAATCTACCACCAAGTAGTAATCACAGTTAAAATGAGCTGGAAAAAAAGTTTAGGTCCATTTGAATCTTACCTGCAGTTTGTTAGCCTTCTCTGCTAGCTCTGACCTCAGCCTCTCCCCTTCTGCAACCTTGGCAGTTAGCTCCTGTACCTGAGCATCAAGCTTCTTCCTCTTATGTTCAGATTCTGATTTGACCTGCTGCAATACTTTCACTTCACATGCTAGCTCCTTGTTGTCAGACTCTAGCCCTTGTTTGTTCTTTTCAAGATTTGCTTTGAACTAGGAAAAGGCACAAAATAAAAGCACATCATTAGATTACAGAACTTCATATGTTTGTGTCTGGCCCAAAATATCACTACAAATAAAGTGTTCTAGTCTAACATCTCTCTTCCCTTCTCTCTCTCCCTCCCCAGCCTTTATCTCACCTACTGATTCAATTTACGTCTTCACTGATTGTCCGTCTTGCAAGCATACCAGCCCAGCCTCTGGAGTCTTTACTATTCATTCCATCCAGGAAGAGCACACACCAACAGCAGAGGCTTCCTCAGCCTGAGGAACGGTTTTTAAACCCGAAAGCTTGCTAAGAAATTTCTTTTCCAATTATTTAAGTTGGTCTAATAAAAGATATTAGATTCACCCAAAGAACCTTGTCTGCCTAGTCTACCATCAAATTTTTCAAGAATGAAGATGTGATTTCACCAGATACTTCTGTTAAAATGTGCAAGACACTTTCTTCACCTTGATACTTGTATGCATTTGCACTTTCTAAAATTCTTTGGATTAATGAGATGGGCTGGGTCTACATGAGATGCTTACTGTACAGTAGCTCATTACTACTGCGCAGCACCATCACTGGGCATGAACCATGACATGATGCTACTGTGCAGTAAGCATCACTAGGAACTGGCTGGGATGTTACTGCGCAGTAATGCTGGTTACTGTGTAGTCATTTAGTACTTGGTTATAAAAATACTAAATGACTGCATCTAGTAAATGAAACATCTAGTAAAGTTGCTTTGATTTTACTCAGGATAGCAGTCTAAAGATGACAAATGAAGCACTTCTCACCAATAATCTGAAAATTTCACTATACCGCCCCCCCCCCCAAAACCAAACAAACCCCACAAATGAGGAGTTTGAAAGCAATCTGGGGTATCAGCCATACCCAAGGGCAACACCTTCAGATAAGGTCCCTAACACTGATGTAGCATGAAAAGCTGTTTTCCCATTCTTTATATTTGCTTAACAAGAAGCTTTATATTCTACGTTGTATTCAGTTAAACTGATCAGATGGATACACTATTTCCATGAGTCTTAACATAAACTACTCCATGAGTCTTAACAAACTATTTTGCCTAAGCAAAAGTCAGCGCAAAATTGTCCATATTTAACATAGAAAATGCCATAGAAATGCCAACAATACAGAAAATGTTCACAATTTGCAAAGGTATACATGAGTGATTACGACTGCAGTTTAACAGACTTAAGGTTACTATGCCTGGCAGTGTTTAGAAAAAAAGTAATTTTGAAACAACATAGTGGAGCAGTCAGTGTTCCTTGGTGCCCATACACTGCTATTCAAATGTTACCAGCCTCATCTGGGCTGTTAAGGTAACAGCTATCACAGAAGTCATAATACCACTGTACAGCTTGATAATTTCTACAAATGTTATGTAGGAGTAGAACAGTGAAAATGGAAGTCTTAATTTGTACGCACCAGAGCTGTATGGGAAAACTTCTACAGTATCTAAATTTAGGCAGTTGTAACTATTTTTCATGAACCAGTAAATTCTAACTGTGGTTTGAAACATTATGCAATTCCCAAATTCTGCAGAGTACTTTTTTTTTTTTTTTTATAGTATAAGCTTGTAGAATTATCTGACTGATTTGTAAAATACCTGGTACAATGCTTCCAGAAGTATCTCCATATTGGTCAAAGATTTTTCATAGATATACCAAGAAGGTCCTATAGTAACTGCATTTGGTTGGTCAAAATAAGGCATTAAAGTCATAGTAGTGGCTTCCTGGTCAGTTTGTTGTAGATATGAACAAACCAGGAAGGCTCAGTTTCTCACCATGTGCAAACATGAGAAAAGAGGCAGGATTGATAGTATTACTTTGTAGAACAGAAAAGAATTCCAAAGCAAGACAGCTTCAATTATCACCTTAAGTAATTTGCACTTCCCACTCACCCTTTTGGCCTGTTCAAGTTGTTCAGAGAGCTCTTCCAGGGCAGTAGCATGTCTTTGCCTTATTTCCTGGATTTGAGCTTCATGATTCTTTGTTTCTTCTTCAATAGCTTTCTTCAGTTCAGCCACTTCCTGCTCACGTTTTGTCCTGAAGGAGCCATAACAGGTTATTTAAGCTAATTTTTTATACTGTATGGTACTTTTAATATTTTAAGTAAAGTTTGCACTTCCATTGTTTTTACAATAGCATAATGCAATACTGTTTAAGGAAAAAGGAGTGGGATAGAGAATAGTCTTGCAGTTGATGACCTGGGAAATGGGACAAAACGCATTCCTATTTCTCTCAGATTTATTACAGAAATTTGGATAAGTTACTGTGTCCACACCAGCCTCCCATCTGTAAACTCGTATCTTTTTTCCCCCCAAAGACACCAATACTTAATTTATTTTGATAAATTATATGCAAATTGAGAGGAAAGGAGCTAAATCTCTTTAAATAAAACTCATTTCATATTAGGGTTTCATGGAAATACACTTACAGAGCAACTGTTTTTCCTCTTTAAATTAAATATGAACTTTTATGGTGTCTGCTTAAGTGCACTGGTCACCTCACCTTAATTCCTGCTGTGCTGCAGTGGTATCCAGTGTATCTTCTAGTTCAGTCTTCAGTGCCTCCAGCTCCTCACTTAGGTCTCTCTTCTGTTTTTCAGCTTTGTTACGTGATGCCTTCTCAGATTCAAGGTCTTCTTGAAGTTCTGCAATCTGAGCTTGCAACTCTCGTATTAGCTTTAGCGCATTATTCTTTTGAACTGCTTCATCATCACCTCTGTTAAACAGGGATATAAAGTCACAAATAAGTAAATTTAAAAGGTTTACAGAACATACATTTTATAGCTTTATGGACTGCTCTTATAATATTGCAGCATCTTTCTGTACCTAATCTAAAGAAGGATCAGTTATTAAAAATAAATCCATTGTTTTATAATAGAATGAGTAAATGGAACAAGAAACAGGTTTCACTTAAAAATTCGAAAGTCAAAATTCACCATTTAAACAACCATACGTTTACTGTCTTTTTGAGACATACTGCATCCCATTTATTCCAGACACACAGAGTTGCAAGGCTGTAGGCAAGACTGGACCTGATAGATATAGATATATAGATATGAGTAAGCAACACAGACTGCTTGCAGACATTAAAAAACAAACAAAAAACCCACACACTTTACCGGAAGCAGCAGCACATTACTTTGGACCAGCTCTGTAGCATCTGTATAGATTGGGTACTTCAGCAGGGCTTTTTGGCACTTTTATTTAACGCCAAGTCAAAGCAAAAAAGCCCCACTAAAGTGCCCAACCTATACGGACATTGGGTAAGCAAGGTTCAACTAACACGCTGCCTCTTCTGGGCATGCACTGGGCTCAGCACAGAAACGCACAGAGTTTAAAGTAAAGCGCTGGGTTTTTTTTTCTTTTTAACGTCTGCAAGCAGCCATAGTGAGATCAAGTTACAGATTTTTGTAAGAAAGGTCAAAAGAGCAACAAAATAACGGCCTCAGTTTTTAAATGCAAGGCAGTATGCAGAAACAAAAAACTGACTTTAAACACCTCAAAGCTACAAAGATGTATTTTCTAACTTTAATACCTTAGCAACTGAAGATGGAGTAGAGAGG